ACAACTGATATTTCATCTATAAAAAAATATATAAATAGTAAAAGCAGACTAAATATTTATTATTTTAATACCTAATTACTCTATATAAATACTAGTACTAGTAAGACTTCTTTAAATCTTTTTTTAATGTAAGCTAATATCTTTTTTGATAATAATATTTTAGACAGACTTTATTAATACCTTTTTAGTGTAAGTTATCATATATGCTAATAATTATCTAATATAAATCTGATCACTTTCCTTACCATTATGCTTATAATATAACAAAAATTGATAGTTATTTATTACAATATCAATCATTTTTTCCTAATTTGCTATTATTTTACAAAATTTCTATTTATTCTCTCTTATGATTAAAAGATGAATTTTATTAAGTTCAAAATCTATACATTGAGAAACTTTTTACTGTAATTCAGCCATTATATTAATAAAGATTATGTAATATAAGTCTAAATAAAACTGTTAATATTACTTAAGAAAAAATATATAAATATTGCTAATGATTAGCTATATCTTTAGATATATCTGAGGCTAAGATATATAATTAAAGATCAGAAGAAATATTTATCTTGTGATTAGATCAAATATAGGAATTGAAATTAATTAATATTATTACATAAGAGAAAAATATAAATATTATTATAAGTTTTCTTAGTTAGAATTGTCATATCCACTAGGAGAATTTAGAAAATTTATTATAGACTCTTAATATATTTTATAAGCCAGTTTTTTATTTTTTTTTTAAGAATAATTATTGATCTATTTTTTCTTTTATTTGAATTCTTAATCTGCATTATTTTATTTGTTTGCGGTAGTTGATATCTATCATCTTCATTAATAAAATATATGTACATTTTCATTATTTTTTAAGTAATGTTTGATATCTAATTTCATATTAAGTACTTTTGCGATATTTGTATATTTTATATAATTATTTGTTTTTATTAATTTTATATTATTTTCTTTATAGTAGAGCCTATCATTTATTATAACATAGTTAAAGTATTTATTAGAGTCAGAGATCTTTATATTTTTCTCTACTTGCTATTTTTTCTTTTATTTATTTTATAAAGATTTGATTGCATATGAGACTTTCTTTAATCTTCTATTTAGATATTGCAATAAACTGATTAAAATCTTATTACTAAAGCTCTACATAAGCTGATTTGACTTGGATTGCAACTGGCTTGAGCTGAGCTATTTTTTTCAGCTTAGCTTGTAGAGATCAATCAATAAGTTAAGCTAAGTCAATCAAATTTATAAGTTAGCTTGTTCAGTTTATATTTATATTTAAAAATAAAAATCATTAAAAGAAATGTTTCTCATTAAAAGAAGTATTTCAGAATAATTCCTTTTGAAAAGAACATTTCTAAAAATAATTTTCTTTGAGAGGAATGTTCCTGAAATGATTCTTATAACGAGAAAAGTTTCTGAATGATTTTCTTTAAAAGAAATATTTTTGGAATGATTTCTTTTGAGAAAAATGTTTCTGAAATGATTTCTTTTGAAAGAAATATTTTTGGAATGATTTCTTTTGAAAGAAATGTTTCTGGAATGATTTCTTTTGAGAGAAATGATTTTAGAATGATTCTCTTTAAGAGAAATACTTCTGGAATAATTCCTTTTAAGAGGAATGTTTTCAGAATGATTTTTTTTAAGATAAACATTTTCAGAATGATTTTCTTTAAAAGAATTATTTTTGAAGTAATTTTCTTGAAGGATTTTGCTTCTAAAGTGATTTTCTTAAAGAAATTCACTTTCAGAGTGATTTATTTAAAAGAATTCACTTCTAGATCAATTTTTTTAAAGGATTTTATTTCTAGAGTGATTTTCTTGAAGGACTTCACTTTCAGAATAATTTTCATAAATGACTTTATTTTAAAATGATTTTCTTGAAGGATTTCATTTCTAAAACAAGTTTTTGAAGGATTTTGCTTTCAAAGATTTTCTTAAAAAATATGACTAGTACTATTTCTTTATTTTAGTGAAAAATATTTAATTATTTAAAATTGTGATACTAAATTTATAATGATAAATGAATTTATCTTTATTTTTAATTTGCAAAAAGAATAATTACAAAAAGTTAAAATATTCTTAAAAAAAAAATAAAAGTAGATATAAAATCTTATAAAATTATTTTTTCTAATGACCATTTATTATTAATGGCTATGAATTAAATTTCTTGATAATTGAATAGAGTATTATCAAGGATTGTGATTATGATGAATCCGTTTGTCATAATATCACAGCCTCTAATTGTCATGAACTCTCTACTAATAGTTGATTCAGAAATGCTTGACTATTTCTATAAATAAGTTGCAAAATTTAATTTTGACGTATTATTGTAATTGGAGAGGTATTATATGAGTTTCTCTTTCTAGATTGCTATGGACAAGTTTTTCAATGGAAAGAAATGAATCAGGTATTATAGCCATTAAGGAATTTATTAGAGGGTTAAGTCAAGATTGAAATCTAATAAGCGAAAAAATCAGGTAATATGAACTGTAAACGATGATGGTATCATGTATAAAATACTTCATGGTATATCCAAGTACATTATTATAATGGGAGTGAAGAGATGCTATTTATTATTAACTTCTTTTCAGATTCTTTAAAGATTGTTAAATAATCAAGAGGTAATGTTATTGAATTTAAAGCTGTTGAAAAAGATATGTTGCTTAATAAAATAATTCAAATTAGCTTACTTTATTTAATCTAAGACAAAAATAAAATCTTGGCTATTTTGCTTTGATATTGCTAAATATTAAGCATCCAAAAAAATAAAACAAAATAAATTTCAAATTGTCAAAATATTTGGAATATACAATAAAAAAGGTTGCAGGTTAAGTCATAATATACATTTTGTTTTTTTGTAAAATTGAAACAATTTTAAAAAACTTTATTGGTGCACCTTAATTTTGTAAAGTTTTCTGTGATTGACTTGTACAATACATACATAATTTAGCAAAAATGATATCAAAGTTCGTAAGCTTGCAAATGAAAAGGCTAAACATAAGGAACAATTAATATATTTAATTATTTAAATTAATAATAACAATCCGGAGGAATAACAAAACATCAATAATTATTCTTTAAATCTTTTTAGCGAAAAGTTAATATTAGGGTTTCCGTTTGAAACAGGATATTCAATTGTTTTGAAATTAAATATTTCGAAATTACAATATTGATATTTACTACTATAAAAAAGAAAGCTCCACTTCCAATTAACCCTCCGCAAGACTTATCTAAGGACTGAATTTTGTAAAAATAGATAAAAAAAAAAAAAATTGTCAATCCAATTCGATTCTACAATGGAAAATCTCTCATTCTTATAATTAAATACAGTAGATCAAAAAAAATTGGTATTATTAAAAGCTATACGATGTGACTATAAAGGAGTATTTTGTAATAAGTTTATTAATAACTTCGACCTGTACTCGTAAGAGGATTGACTATATAGGAGAGAGTGATTATAAATCTACTGTATTACATTTAAAATGTGCACAAAATAAAGGATGCAAACCAAAGATATTTGTGCAATTATTATAAATAAAAAAGATGTAATTTGCTAATTGTCATATATGAATAAAGTAAAAACAAATAAATAACTATAAATGAAATCATTCGATATTCTTAAGTGGGAATTTTGTACGTCGTGCCCCTTATAAGGGGGGCTTTCTCCGCTTTTCTAACGCTTGTATCGCGTAAATCCCCTAACTTACCGAATTATTTTTTTTTTCTTTGTTTGGATATACCAATATTTATCTAGAGTCAACAACACATTAGGATAATTTCAATGGCAAACATTAAATATTTACTTATTTTAACTGCAAATCAATAATAAGAGTGGGAAATTTCATACACGTGTCCATGAGAATAACTCAAGATAATTAATAGGATTACTAAACGATTATAATAATAAAATGAAAATCATTAATAATATTAAAAATTTTTTTCAAAGAAATCTTTTATGTTATATATTCTAGAAAGTCAAATATTCATCTCACAGAAATTCTCTTGACTAAAACAGCGATTTTTCTTTCATTTAAATTTACATAACAAATATTACATACAGTTGTGAAACTGTAATTTCAGGTACGTAATGTGTTTTTTCTTTTAGTTCTTTGTTCTAAATTCATTAATTCCATGACCATTTACTTTTGAGTTTAAATAAAAAAATGATTAGAATTAAAGTACGGATGATGGAATAAAACAAAATGTTTGTAACACACGTGTACAAAACTCATAATATAAAATAAAAATATCTTCAGAGAAGAAAGAAAAAGATAAATAAGATCTTCGTGTATCGTTACATGATAAATTTCTCCTTTTTTTTTTTTTTTTTTTCAATTGATAAGTTTTCTTTGAGAATTCTCAGGTAGAATACTCTGTCGTAGGAAAATTTTCCAAATAGTAAAATATTATTCGAAATGTTAAAGTTAAAATGAAAAAAAAAATTGCCATTTATAATTGATGCTACGCGTTTTGTTTTTCAAAATCTGCAAAGTTCATTCATGAGGTATTAGATAATTAATTTAGCACGACATGTTAAGACCCATATTTATTGGTTTCGTGCAAACAATGATATTTAAGCATGGATTTATGGATTCTTCTAGCAACCCGGGATCGGATATTTTTAATTTCAGATTAAAAGATCAGCGAACATGTACATCAATAAAAATTTTTTATTTAGTTTGTTCATTTTCTGATGAATTATTTCTTATAAAGTTTAGAGGTCTCCTCCTTTTTTTTTTTTTATAAAGATCTTAAAATATTATCTATGGTTAACTATTCTATGAATAAATTTTGGTTTTTTTTTTGTCTTTGAAATTTTAAAATTTTTTTTTGCTTTTTCATTTTCTTAAAAAAAAAAAAAAAAAAAATATGTAAGTGATAAAAATGTACAAAGGAAGTATTTTGAAAGGGTTAAATGTAAAGATGCTATGAAAAATATATATATATACGTGAAGAATTTTATAACAAACTTATTAATACAAGATTTAAAATGATAATGAATTAAAGAGTGGTTCCATCTTATTTGGTTCTTTTAATGGAAGATCTGGTTGAAATTTAGGTTCCATGAAATCAGGTAGAACAGGTTGAAGAATCGGCGATAATGACACGGTAGGGGGGATGACCGCATTTCTTTTTGAACCAGCTCGTATTTTGGCTTTCTTTGCTCTTAAAAGGTGTTTCTTTCTAGAATACCAGAAATTCTTAAGTTTATTTCGTGATCTTAATATTCCATATCTTAAATGGATTTCGTGTACCAAACATTTCCAACGGATGGTGCCGCTCGATGTTTGATTTGTCTCAACCCAATGAGTAACAAATTCTTTTTCATAATCGCTTAAAGGACCTTGACAAACTGAAAAAAATTAAAAGATAAATAAATAAATAAATAAAAAAAAAAAAGGGAAAGAGTTTCACGTACTGCGCGAATCAAGATTATTACGATAGCTAAATGAAAATAAAAAATTTAAAATTTTTAGCAAATTTATTAAAGAACGCGTAATTTATTATTGACTCACCGATGACAAATTTGTCTAGCTTTATATTGAGGAAGAACCTCTGCTATTCTCACAAAAGGACTGTGAGTATTTCCACCTTTTTCAAGCTCGCGCATGCAATCGAGAATGATATCATCACTCTAATAACAGAGATCAATAAATCAGTAAAGCAAACTTGTATATACGCATTCTTTTTTAATATTTGTTTACATACTAATTCATCGAATAAAAGTTCTTTCATTTTTAAGGAAAGGTATTAGTTGATAATTATAAATTAAAAAAATATCAATGATGAGGATTTGACGCCAAAAAAAAAAAAAATTATTTTGTAATAAAATTTGTATCTTTCGCGAATAAAGCCTCTTTTTATAGAACTTAATAAATGGCATGACACATTTAAATTTATAAATTTGGAAATTTTATGCGCCAATTCATTCTAAAATTCTTACAATATGTTCAATGTGAATATGGGTGACACGGTTTTTTGACAATGAGTAGGTATATATTTTTCCTAATTCAGGATGCAATGTTTAAAGAAATTGGGCTTGTGATTCATTCATAAATATCTTAATAGAAATCTAAATCCTAAAAGACTTCCTGTCACAATAAGAGCAAGTTACATGATTACACATGGCACAATTCTTGATAGAAAGGGATGAATTTTAATAAAGGGTTAAAGAAAGGGATTTAAAGGAATAGGGGTGGAATTAATATTCAGTTTATAAAATTTGGTGCTCCAACCTGTGTTATGTTGTTAAAGGAAACATAAAAGCTCGAAAAATTTGGCGCTTAAAATAAAATATATGTGTATCACCACGCTTATTAACAAGTACATATCGAAAAAATCATTTCTTTGTTTTCTTCAATAATAAGATTATTCCTGATTAATCAGGTTTTGTTCTTACATAATAAATGTCAAGATCTTTTCTTCCAATTCACCAAAATCACCATATTTTTATGAAAACAATAGATTATCCGCGTTTACTGCGACGTAATTAATTTTGGTGCGCTTGTTCCAATTTGGTAATATTTTAACGATTTTGCATCACGTAATACTAAAATTTTTTAAATTCTGTCATCGCGCCAGCCCTTCGCTTTATTATCATCCTATGACGTATAAAGAAAATTGTTCAATCACAACGTCGACAATTAAAAAATGTTATACATATTTTTATTTTTATTTTTTTATTATCATCAACATTTTAAGACGTATTACAAAAAATTTTTCCGCATTTAGCATGTAACATCAAGAAATCAATCACTTACAAAGTTTTCTTAAAACGTAAAACTTTTTATTTTTTGAGTACAAGGGGAATGTTTTGTTTAGTATAACATTCGTCTTTGTCTAGGATGTCTCATTTGCCAATAATTTTCTTTGTGATGATCATTTAGTAATTGATTATTTAGCGAATAATCATGTAAATTCGACGAGAGCTATTAGGAAGATATAATTTGAAATATTTTCGCAAAATAATATTTATCATGAAAATAAAGTTTGGTATATTCATTGATGAAAGATAATCATTTATTAAAATATTTCCGTCATTTTGTTCTAAAAAAGTAAATTCTTCCTTGCCTGATTATTTTCGTTTATTCTTTTTCTGAATTGAGGAACATAGTAAATTTTAGAAATTGAAAAAAAAAAATATATTATCATCATTGATGGAATTACCTTTTTATTCTTTGCATCAATCCTAGCTTTAATATTCTCTGTTCGGGTTTTTTGTCTTTCAGCCATGGATTTTTCAACAGATTCAATACGATCTTCCCTATACGGTTTATCCCATAGAAATATTTCAATATAAAAGATTACAAGTATAAGCGGAAATAGAAATGTTGTGTAATCTTACCAAGCCTTTTCACTTTTCCTTTTTTTGATAATTTTCTTTTTAATAGTCTTTGCTAACAATTTAGGATCATCCTTAACCTTTTCTCCTTGTGCCTTCAGAAATGCTTTATCCCACGCTTCTTTTACTTGTAATTCTGCAGCCTTCATAAATTAAAGGCAACATAAAATGACAAGGTATTCACATCATTCAAAAGATGTATATTAGAGAGGGAAACATTCAATTACCTTCTCAGGATCCAATCTTTTTAATCTTCCTATTTTTACAATTTTGTCTTGTAACTATCATTAAAACCAATTAGTCGAATAATATTTTGTAACAAGATTTTTTAAATGTAAAGTTCAAAATTTTACCTTGACTTTGAGGTGGACATCATCTATTTTTTTCTTTTTCTTTTTTTCTTCCGCAAAATCAAACTTAGCAAATTTTAAGCCATTATCCTGCAAAGAATCTTCCTCAATATCATCATCACCAATTTTTCTTTTAACGCTTCCACTCTTTTTAATATCTACACCTTTCTTGATATCACCATTATTCTTAGCAACTCCTCCTTTATTGGTATCTTCATTTAAATTTAAATTCTTTTCTTCACTTTTTATTTGATTATCGCTATCCTTATTCATTTTTGATTGTTTTTGCTTTAATTTCTTTTCTTTTTTTTTGATTTCTATTAATTTTTTTCTTTTTTCTTTTTTAGAGGAATCCGTATTAGTATCTGCAAGTCGTTTTGAAAGAATAATTCTTGCAAGACGGTCAGGAACTGGTTGTATTTTTGATGAATTCTTTTTCCCTGATTCTGCAAATTAATTATTAGTCAAGTGATATAAGGCTAAAAGTAAGGACAATAATTTGTTATTACCAGTTATGATTTTATTCTTATCATCTTCATCACTTTCGGCACCGTCCACTAAATCTGATTGAGACTCCTTGTCATTTTCCTCCTCTTCTTCATCATCGGTGTCTTTCTCTATTTGTTCTTCGTCACTGTCTTTTTTTTCAATTTTGACATCAACGTCGTATTCAATCTCATCATCATCCTCATCCTCATCATCTTCTTCTTTATTGACCTCATCATCTTTCTGTTCTTTTTCTTTTTGTTTTTCTTGTTGAATCTTGTGCAACTTTTCTATTTGAAGCTCTTGCACAGTCTTTAAATTATTTGGATCAAGCTGATTAAAAGAAAATATTAATAATCAAATCATCAATTAAATTATTTCAACGAACTCATTTTAGTCAACCTTTTGTCTTTTTGCTTGTTTCTTTTGTTCTTTAAGGACTTGCTTTGGAATTCTTTTCTTTTTATTGGGTTGAAATTTTTCTTCGTCGTCTGAAGCATTAGGCTAGAGACAAAATTACATTAACCATTATCAATTACAAATGTTTCTTCAAAAGATATGATCGCACTTACATCATTCTTGAAATAATGTTTCGGAGGAATTAAACACATTAGCGAGTCAATGAACTCACTATGTTCCTTTAACCTACCCTAGACAGGGTTGAAATAGATAAATCATCAATTAAATTGGATGATTAATAAATTAAAAGCAAAAAAGAAAGGCATATTTAATATCCACCTCTAATCCATCAAGTGACCACATTTTCTAAGGTGGGAGAAAGAAAGTTTTTTTTATTTAGTTGATCAAAATGATCAAAAACGAATAAATACGGTATCCAATCAAAAATCAACATTAAAAATTGTGGAAAGGATCAGCCAATTAAAATCGAACAGATGGATTTTTTTTTTAATATCTAGAAAAAACCAGAATTATCAAACAAAGCCTTTTAAATTATTTTTTTTTTTTTTAATATTCGACACCTCCTTCTAATACATTAAAATATTTACCTTTCAAGTTGTTTATTAAAAAATAAGAAATTATTAAAGTACTTTGGAAAAAGTTAAATTAAAAATAGAAATGTATATATAATTATATAATTAAAACTGGCTTCCTTACATAAGTAGGGTGTAGCTATAAAAAAGGATATTCAAATTAATTTTAACGAACTAACTTGTTATAAAAGTCTTTTTCAATTTTTTTAAAAAAAAAAAAATGATAGACGTGATAGATAATAAAAGATAAAGAAGCCTCACATGCTGTTCTTGTGCTACCGTGGTATTGGTTATTGACCCCATTGGATATATATATCAATTGCATTTCTCTTTTTTTTTTTTTTTTTTTTTTTCTGGTAGAGAAAAAACTTTTTTTTTTTAACAAATTCACAAAAGCTGTTTCAAATGTCTGAATTGAACAAGTCTTTGAATAATGAATATTCTTCAAATTTTATTGGAGACAAAGTTAGAATCTTCATTCGTTCTCCAACAACACCTTTACCTGACGGTTATTTTATATTAACAAATCCTAACTCTTCAGTTCTTTCTTTGAAACAAATAATCTTTAAAACTCACCCTGCAAAACCTGCGATTAGAGATCAAAAATTAATTTATAGAGGAAGAGTATTGGGCGATAATGACCTTATTGAGAATGTCTTGAAAGACGGACTTGAAACAGACCAAACTTTTCATTTGGTTGTTAAACCATCTTTTCAGGCTATCGCAGAAACTACTGGTATACCTATATCCCCTCCTAACTCTCATCCGACTTCTCAAAATCACACTTCGACTTCTACCCACTTTTCTCAAATAACCAATTCAGTACAACAACAGAGCATTCCTAACACTATCCAAAATCCTGGTTATATTTATATGCCTCAAAATCATGCTCAATACAATCATTCCGTTACTCCCTTAGATCCTTCACAGAATCAATCACTGCAACCATCACAACAGCCATTTTCAATTCCAATGGGATATTATTATGTCATGATTAAGTAAGTGTAGTGTATTTTCATATTTTGGTTTTCTTCTAATTATAAAAAATAAATAATTTACCCTTTTTTTTTTTAAGTGGATTGCCATATCTTGTGCCAATTCAATATTCTCTCCCATATACATATTCTTATCAAATTATACAGACACAACCAATAGTTCAACCGCAACCAAATGTTGCCCCAGTAGCAGAACATCATCATGATAATGCCGCAAGAAATCAAAGAAGAGCAAATACGTTGTTGCTGGTCGTTAAACTTGGTTTTCTTGTGTACATTTTTTCACAAAACGCTAGCGCGGAACGAATGATATTATTGTACATTTCTGCTTTGGTATATTTCCTGTAAGTGATTATTTTTTTTTCTCATAATTGAGAGTTTTCATCTAAATATTGTTAAAATCTAATACATTATGGTATTTTTAAAAAAATATATATGTATTTTTATTTATTAGGTACCAAACGGGGCGTCTACGAATAGTGCGGAGACGTAGAAGAGTTTTGGTCCCAGTTCCAAATGAATTTTTTGGTAGGGTAGATTAACAATATTAAGGCTCATATTTATAGTAGATAGTTCAATTTCAATAAAAATATATCATATTAACGTTCTTTTCTTTATAATGATAAGTTCAACAATTACCACAAGTTGCAGCAGCAGCATTCCGAAATCAAGCAGGAATTCAACCAAGGCCAGATGGTAATCAAAATCCTTCCAACCAAAGCAATAATAATTCTCCTACTTCATCATCATCATCATCATCTTCTTCTTCTTCGTTGTTGTTGGTTTCTTGAACTTTCCAGGACATC